TAGCCATCCTTTTTCTTTGATCGGAACAGTTTTTCATTGTTTTTTTGTCTTTCATTACCTTGACTTTTTCCAAAATATCACACCACTTCTTTATAGAATATCCCACAGTTTACGCTTTTGTGATTTCTTTTTGTTTGTTTGTTTTTGGTGACAGGGTCTCACTATGTAGTTCAGGCTGGCCTCTGGATTCACAGCAATCCCCTTCTTCAGCCTCCTGAGTGCTGGGATTACAGGTGTGCACCACCACACTCGCTAGTGATTACTTGTGATAAGATTCAGGTTATGTATTTTGGGTGGAACAACACAGAAATAGTATTGGGTTTACAGTGCACCTTAGTTGTTAGCAAATGATGCCACGTTGTCTCAGTAGTGGGCCTGTTGACCCTTTTTCACTTAGTTATCTTGGTGTTATCCAAGTTCTCCCCTGTAAAATTTGGGTTTTCTCAAGTTCTTATATTTATGATTTAGTTTTGTTTTTGTTTTTGTTTTTGTTTTTGTTTTTTTTTGCGGTACTGGGGATTGAACTCAGGACCTTGCCACTTGCAAGGCAGTCACTGCCCCACTGAGCTACATCCCTGGCCCTCAATTTATGATTCTTGAAGCAGTGGCTACTCCTGTGGTTTAGGTATGGTTCAAAGCCCCCAAGGGTCCATGTGTTGGAAGCTGGGTCTCCTGTTTCATGGTGTCAGAGCCTTTAAGAAGTGGGGCCTGTTGGAAGTAATGATGCCACCAGTGGTGCTATATTCAGAAGGAATTTTTGTTTTTGTTGATTTTTTTGAGACAAGGTATTGCCATATAGCCCAGGCTGGTTTTGAACTTGCGATCCTCTGAGCTCAGCCTCCCAAATGCTGGGATTTATGGGCAGTAGCCACCACAGTTGATTTCAGAAGGAATTTTTTATCTAGATTTTATAGGAACTTGTTCTCAGGGAGGATTGTTATAAAAGAGCCAGCTAACACTTGAAATGCTCTCTGGCTTCCTGTCTTGCCGTGTGATCTCTCCCCTCCCCACAGGGGTACCCTCACTATAGCCAGGCTGCTATCAGCATCATACTCTTGAATCTCCAGGACCACAAGCTATATAAGCCTCTTTTTGTTTAATTTAATTTTATGTATTTATTTAATTTTTTTTTTGGTATCAGGGATTGAACTCAGGACCTTGTGCTTGCAAGGCAGGCGGCAGAACCACTGAGCTAAATCCCTGGCCCTAAGACCCTTTTTAAAAAAGTAGCTAGACTCTGGTAGTTCATTATAGTAACAGAAAACATACTAATACAGTTACTATGATGGTGCTAATTGGTGATTTTCTTAAGTCCTTCATTCCTTCTACATTTATTAGTTGGCATTCTAATGTACAGAAGAATTTAAGCTCCTTGCTAATGTACTTATTTATGTTAGTATCAACTGGGTTATTCTTTTATCCCATGCATTATAATACATTCCTTAAAAAGTTATTTATTTTAAAGCTTAAAGGTTCTAGCTTGGATCGTAGGAGCCCCGTCAAGTAGACTACTGGGTCTAGTGTGCAGTATCATGACTAATTTAGTTCTTTCATTTTTGTAACTGTAGTCACTTGAGCTGGGCAAGGCAATAGCTACATTTTATTATGGTTACTTTTTTTCGGGGGGGTACCGGGGATTGAACTCGGGTCCTTGAGCTTGCAAGGCAGACCACCGAACCGCTGAGCTAAATCCCCAGCCCCTACGATTTTTTGATTGTAGTGATATATCAAGTTTGTTATTAACTATATTACTGTATTAAATTTATTGCCACATAGCTACATTTATTACTTTATATTTATGCTTTCTGCTAGGCACTGTTTAAGTGTTTTACTATTTAATTATTACAACCCAGTGAAGCATAGTAGGTACTTTTATTACCATAATCATGTCCGTGACTTTTTACCTGGTTGAGAGAGTTCCCTCTTCTTTCTGTTTTATTGAATGTTTTCATGTAAATGGCTGTTGAATGCTTGTCAGATGTTTTTTGTGTCTATCAAGATGATGATGGTTTTTTTGTTTGTTTGTTTTTGTTTTGGGTACCGGGGATTGAAGATCATGGGTTCTTAAAGCCTTTTGGTACAGTGAATTACATTGGTTTTTGAGTATTCACATTTGATCATGATACAGTATTGCTTCTATATATGTTGCTGATTTGCTTTCCTATGATTTTAGACTTTTCCATTTGTGTTTCTGAGTTGACCTGTAGTTTTCTTTTTCTCTTTCTTCTTTTTTGTTCTTCTTTGTCTCATGTTAGTATCAGAGCACTACAAGCCTCATAAAATGAGTTGAGAAGTCTTATCTTCAGTTTTTTGAAATAGTTTCTGTCAATTCGGGGGGATTTTTTGGTTTGTTTTTTGAAGCAGACACTTGCTGTGTAGTCTAGCCTGGCCTCCAGCTCACAGTCCTCTTGCTTCAGCTTCCTCAGTGCTGGGATTGCACATGTGTGCCACCATGCCCAGTTTAGATTTAGTGTTACTGCTTCCTTAAAAGTTTGATAAAATTTGCCAAAGATGTTGTGTGCTTCTAGCATTCACTTGCGGTCAAGATTTTAACTAGCAATTCAAATTCTTTGATAGAGAAGTATTCCTGTTGTCTTTTTTTTTTGGAGTGGGCTCTGGTAGTTTCTACCTATTGAGAAATGTGTTCATTCATGTAAGTTATCAAATGTTGGCTTAAAGTTGCTTGTAATTACTCATGTTACCCCTTAATGTCTGTAGAGTACAAAAGGTTTTCCCTTTTTCATTCCCTACAGTGGGAATTTGTGTTTCTTTTCTCTTGATTAGTCTAGCTAAAAGTAATTTATTTGAAAGTAATTTATATACCGAGAGTTATTAAAAGTCAAATCTATTTAAGAATTTAAAGGCTTTTGTAAAATATTGGTTTCCCATCCAAGTACCAACCAGACCTAACCTTGCTTAGCTTACAAAATCAGATGTGCATGTTTAGATTGGCAGGGACATAGTCTAAAATAATTGTCAAAAGCATCTTTAGACATAAAAACATGTTACGGCTTCTAAGCTCCCCCCCCCCGCCAAGTCTCATGTTCAGAGATGGGGCTTTTGGAAGGTGATTGGGTCATGAGGGTGCTGTATTTACCAGTGGGTGAATCTGCTGATGGGTTCATAGCTGAGTATACTATTCAGGGGTGGGGCCAGGTCACTGAGGAGATGACCTGGAAAGTGTATTCTTTTCTTCTTTCTTTCTTTTTTCTTTCTTTGTTTGTTTCTTTTCTTTCTTTTTTTTGCGATAGGGTCTATGTAGTTCAGACTCACCTTGAACTCATCCTGTAGTTCAGGCTGGCTTCAAACTCATCCTGCTTCAGCCTCCTGGATTACAGACACAAGCCACCATACTCAGCTCATGGGGGTGTATTTTTGTCCTGGGCTTAATCCTGGGCTCTCTGCTTTTGGCTGCCATGAATTGAGTAGCTTTGCTCCAGGTTCTTCTAACATGCTGGTTTTGCCTTGGAGTCATGGACTGAACCTTTTGAAACTGTAAGGCAAATAACCCCCTCCTTTTTAAGAGTCTCTCTCCCCCCCCCTCTCCCCCTCCCTCCCTCCCTCCCCCTTTCTCTTTCTCTCTTTCAGGCAGTATTTGGGATTGAACCCAGAGCCTTCTCACTGAGATACCTGGGCTGGGCTGAATTTGGGATCCTCTTGCCTCAGCTTCTCACTGTGCTGGGAGATCATAGGCCTGTACCACCAGATAGGGTCCCAAGGCACTTTTCCTTGAGGTTATTTAGAAAGGAGGTCTGAAGGGGCTTTAGAATCAGATTTGCCTTTAATTCAAGCTTCACTCCTTAGCAGGGGTGTAACCTCAGGCAAACTGCTTAATCCCTCTGAGTTTTGATTTCCTCTTTTAGAAGGGGATAATATCATCTGTGGAGGTTTCCCTACTTCCTCAGGGCAGGTTCCTCTCCTCCTGCTCAGCTGCCACAGTCCTTGGTAAGCATTTAGTGTAGAGTCCCTCCCTGTCAGCTCTTCCCTTGACCAGGCAGATGTGAATGTCAACACAGCAGGGCCCTGCACTATTCCCCTCCTCCCTCCACCCCAGACCCATCCTGGCCTATGTCTAGGATAGGGAAATAAGGAAGCAGATATGGTGTGTCATATCATACCACTGGCTCATGCAGCCAAACAAAATATTATACAAGACCATCTAGCAACATGAGAAAAGGTTTTAAATAATGAAATACTCACCAGCTTTTAGTATGTATGTACATGCATGTGTATAGTGTTGTATATGGGGAAAGTGAAAGAATTCTAGAGAAAATAGCCATGTGGGGGACCAGATTCTGGTCTGAGTTTTCATCCTTTAACGTATAACTCTTAAGCACAGTGACACTTGGGAGGTAGTGAGTTCCCCATCCCTGGAGGCTGTGCAGGCAGAGCCTTAGCAGAATGGGTGGGAAGGCAAAGAGCCTGTGAGTTTTTCTTCTCTGCCGTGGCGGACAGCAGGCCTTCCTTCACCTCCAACTGCAAGGAGCATTGAAAGTACCATCTGGGAACAGCTCCTGTCTGTGGAGCAGACTCCACCCATTCACCCCGGACGTCTCCCGTGGAAGCTGAGAGCTTGGCTCTGTGTAAAACAGTCTGTGCTTGGGACCCATCTTAAAATGAAAGATACCCTTGCCGCCTTTGCAGGCTGCTCCGAGCCTCCCTGTTTCTCTACCTCTTCCCCAGTCCTTAGGATGTGCCATGATTGCACTGTGTCTACTGTCTGTCTTGTGTTTCCTCAGCTCCTGTTTAAGGAGTGTGTGTGTGTGTGTGTGTGTGTGTGTGTGTGAGAGAGAGAGAGAAGAGGTGAAGGAAGATTCAGGTGAGTCGTTAAATCTTAACCCAGAGACTGGAAGCTCTTCCTCTGGCAGTCACCAAGCAGCCAGCTCAGTTTTGTGAACATTAATATGGTCAGTCTGTGGCATGGGCACCTTCTTGGTCCTTAAACCCATGTTATCCACCTTCTGTTGTCCTATCCTCACTGCAGCTCATTCTATTTTCAGACAACACCTTTGTCGAGAACATCTTGGGAGGGAGCTGGAATCTCTGTCCTCCAGGACGCTCCCTACCACAACTTTTCTATAAGGTAATCTCCAGTTCACTTACTTTTCCTCCTGTGACATGTTTCAGGGCCCCTCCTCCCTGGGGACTCCTCCTGATTCTGTTCTAGTTTCTCATGCTGAGCATAGGTGCTCTAGTCTGTGAGTCCTAGTGTACCTTTGGGGAGGGGGCTGTTGGCATTGCCCTATCCCATTGTCCTTCTGTAAAAGGCAGCGGAGGTGATGCTGTCTGTACTCTAGGTTTGCTGCTGTGTGTGTGGGTCTGGGGTGGTTCTGATTGCTCTGGGAACATTCTCACCCTTATTCCCACTCATGCCCTAAAGGTAGAAGAAGACTTCAGAACCAGTGTCCCCCGAATTCAAGAAAATCAGGCAGCTTTACTTTTCTGTGTCTCTCTTGCCCTTATTTTTATACAAAATTGATTGTAGGGACAGAATGAACCACTGTGAACTCCTGTGAAGTAGTTTGAGCTCATAAATTGCCTTAAACTCCATCTGAATAAAGTCACTAAATTTTTTTTTTCACAAGTGATACTATTTTATTATAGAAAAAAAAGCATCCTAAATGTAGGATTTTGTAAACACTGGTATTTGAACAAATGCAACTTTAAAAGTAAATACAGCTGGGTGTGGTGGCACATGCCTGTGATCCCAGCACTCGGGAGGCTGAGGCAGGAAGATCACTGTGAATTCAAGACCAGCCTGGGCTGCATAGTGAATTCCAGGTCATTCTCAACTACAGAGTGAGACCCTGTCTCAAACAAAACAAAACAAAAGGTAAATATAAGTTAGGGCCAGGGATTTAGCTCAGTGGTTCTGCTGCCTGCCTTAAAAGCACAAGGACGTGAGTTCGATCCCCGGTACCAAAAAAGAAAAAGTAAACTTATCTAAATGTAAATACAAGGTAAGGAGGCAACACCTAACAAGTGCTTTGGGTTTAGAAGATGCAGCTCTCCTTCCGCAAAGGTGATCCCATCCCGAACACGGTGCTGTGTCTGTCCGTCCCTACCAAGGCATTAGTTTGCTTTCTGAGCTATGTCCACTTTAACAGGTTCCAAGTGATGGCAAGAAGTGGCATTGAATGCTTATGAAACACTCTGGGGTTTTCAAGAAAAGATTTCACATTACATTGATGACAGAGTCTAAGTTAAAGCCTGTGCTCTGAATAATTAAAGAAAACACTTAACTGTAGCTGCTGCCTGCCTCACAAGTGCAAGATCCCAAATTCAATCCCGGGTATCAAAATAAAGAAAGACAGACAGACAGACTAACTGAAAAGACACCTATCCTCACTAGGCTTATTCCACAACACTTTCATAGATCTGTGTTTTTGTTGTTTTGGTACTGGGAATCTAACTCAGGACCTTGCACTTGCCAGGCAGCTGTAGTGCCAGAGCTGCATGCCCGGCCCTCTAGACCTGTATACATTAGATAACATCCTGCCCTCAAGATTCAGTTTAAAATAATTTTGGTCACCATACATTGTGAAAGAAATCCAGCTACTTTCTATCTCACCCTTTTTGCTATCATTCCTTTAATACCTTTCTTCCACTTTGGAGAAACCATCAAATAATGTGACGTTTTAATACTGTCTCCTTGAAGTCTCAATGGCTAATGTTTCCTAGCCAACTCTCAACCTCAAATTCTGGTTCATCTTGGCTTGCTGAGAAGCTCTAAGATACTCTGGGTAAAACCATTTCTTACAAAAATGTACAAACAGCCTGGCTTATTTATATAGGCACTTAGAAGAGACACCAAACCCAAGTTCTACCTCTTGCCTATCTGGTCAGCAACTGACTGAGGGGATGACTGTAGCCTGGCCTGCATCTCCACAGGGACTGAGGGGCCGCCAAGTTATAGGAATGCTGAGGTCTAGGCAGGGGTGGGGGTGAGGGGTAGAGAAGAAGCTGCTCTACCAGAAGGAACGTGTGGTCCCCTTTCCGTTTAGTCGCCACTGGTTGATGACACTTGCAGATTAACCACAGATTTCCATGTCCTCAAACTCTGCTGGTGGGGGCCAAAAGCATGTCAACATAGAATGTGGAGGGTGGGGAAGATACATAGTTCTTAAAAGCCCAAGAAAAATAATCAATTATACAAAACAAAATGTCAAGTACATACCCTACTTTCCTAATTTTGTACCTAAGCAAGACCTGAAGTGTCAGCCTATTCACATCACCAACACAAACCGGGTGATTCAAATTTCCTCTGTAATGGCCTGGAAGCCACTGAGAAGTGTGAAGGAAGCACTGTTACAGGATCACCTGGGCAGATCAGATGCTAGTGGATATGGACGTGCTTCTGGGAAGGCCAGAGCTAGGCCTGACCTTAAATTGGAGCCACTTGGTTACAAATAACCCTCACCCCTACCCTGGCCATCAGCCCCATAAACAGACACCAGTGGTGATCAGAACTCTAGGTGACAGATGGCTCAGTTTGACTGCTATTTTTTCCCAGTAAGGAACAGAACACTGATTCCTTGTGATGCTGGTCTCAAGCACCTAGAGCACCCAGAACATTCTTAAGCCAGGGGCCCAGGGATTTAGCTCAGTGGTGCCACGCCCGCTTTACAAGCACAAGGTCCTTAGTTTGATCTCCAGTACCAGAAAGAAAAAAAAAATTCTTAAACACAGGCCTGTGATCCCAGCACTTGGGAGGTGGAGGCAAGAGAATGGCCACGAGCTTGAGGCAAAAACAAACAAACAAACAAAAAAACCCAAAAACATTTCTTATTCCTCAGTCCAGGAAAAGGGGTCTCTCAATACCTCACTTTATTTTTGGAGTAGCTTTCCCTATAGCATCTTATGGGAAAGGAATTTAAGAAAACCAGTGGTGTTCTTAAAGAACTGGAAGGAATCTGTGCCTATTCACAATCTATGGTGTGTAAATGCCAAGGTGGGTGACTGACCAGAAGTGGGAGATAATTCCCAAGCACCCATCTCATTTGGGGACTAAATTTAGCTCTACTGCTAACAACCACAGAGCTGTCAGAGGAGGTTGGGGTCCGGGGAGACTCACCCACCATGCAGCGTTAACAGCTGACAGCAACCAGATGACACCTGGATCTTCAACTTACCCTTCCTTTGGGGACCACAGCATGATCATTTTCTTACCCGGTGTATAAGTAGTTAATAGGGTATTTTAAAAATAAAAATTTACTGACACCTCCAAAACTCCCTGGTATGAGAACCAGTATAGAGAAATCCTGTCCTACTAGGATAGTCTGCTAGTGATGTCACCCAGCCAGTTTCACTCCAGATGCCCTCTCTCAGGTGCTCTTAGCAATCTAAGATGCTGGCACTGGTGAGGGATCTCTCTCCTCCCCGAGAGCCTTTCACCTGCACACACCCACACCCACAGCAGTGTGCTGCCCCAGAGTCCAGGCCAGGAGAACACACTTAGCCTGCTCTGGAGAGGCCCTGGAGTGGACTCTTTCCCAATCAGTCAGCAATTTTGAGTTCCTATGGCTTGAGCTAAAAAGGTTTTATGAACATCATTGAGTCATTCTTCCGGCTGAAGAACTTGTCTTGTGTGGTTTTGAATTGTTCACTGCATTAATGAGGAAACAATTTCAGCTCTTAGGAATTTCCTTTTGAGATTTCGAGTGAGCCTTTTCTTTTAGAATGTAGTCTGGGTGCAGAGGCCCCAGGAATGGGATTCTATTAACCTCTCGTGAGCATCTCAGTGCCAGCTTTCAGAAGACAGAGATTGTCTCTTTTAACCTCTGGTCCCTTCGCTGCTTACTGTGTAAGACCAAACAAACGAAACCAGAGTGGAAAGGGATGATGACTGCCTTGCTAACTATGATGAGGCAATAGGAAGGAAGATTGACTTCCTTTCCGGCGTTTGCAGTTGTGCCGACTCAGTGAACAGCACCAGACCTCAATCTTTCAAATTACCAAGGCTGCTGCAAAGCTGGTAGCCTGATTACCTGAGCACTTCTTCATCCCCTGCCAAAGATGAAGACTTACAGAGAAGGATGCACGTTAATTATGAGAAGGCCAAAGGTAGGGGAGGCGTGTGTCAGGGTGACACAGCCACGGGGAGGATGGGAGCCTGGCCACAGATGCCCCACACAAAAGAGCCCCAGTGAGGGGTGGACCCATGATGGCCCTGATCCTGAAAGTCATTAGAAACCATCTGAACGAGGGGAGCATTGAGCCGATCGAGTTTGTCCACTTGTGGCGGGCGGTGCATGAGGATCTCTGGGTCCTTCACGATGTTCTCGCTGGCACCCATCACGTTTTTGAGACTTGCTTCGAACACACTGGAAATACACTTGGCGACTCTTTCCTTCTTCCTTTTCCCATGACATCTGGATAAGGGACGCTGCACATAATTATAGATAACTTCAGACCTGAGCGTCAGGTCTTCTCTTTATTTTTTCTTTACAGGTAGGGTAACCTTCAATCCCAGTGCGAATGTTTTTCAGGCCCTGTTCCTTTAACACTATTTTAGCAACGTCTCGATTCTTGATATATTTGAAGAATCTGTAGAGCTTAGAGCTATAGAGAATTTGGGAATATTCTTCTCCCATGGGTTGGGAGTGGTCTTCATTCCAGTCCACAGAATCCTGGTCCGTCAGCATGAACAGGTGGCACTCTCGCTCCCCTTTCTTGGCACAGCCCACCATGATTGGTAGAAGCAGCTCTTCGAGGTAGTTATCACACTGCTTGTGAGCATCATCGTTAGGCAGTTCATGCAGTAAAGCACTCAGATCTTGACGTTGGATAGTGTTGAAGTCAAAATTAATGCAGAGAGAATCGCACATGTCTCTGAGGTCTGGGATAGAGATGCCATCTGGACAATTGATGATACCAGTTTTGTAATAATCCAGCACCGTGAGAAATACAGTCACACTGATTCCTTTGGCAGTCTCCTACTCTCCCTTCTCACTGGGCCATGTGAAGTTGTACTTTTTTCCTGGTCCGAGCATCCTTCCCAACATGGTGTCCAGATGATCAGCGAAGATCTGTAGATTCACCACAAATTGTGTGCCGTCTACAAGAAGTGTCACTTTCTCTGGT